GCGCTGGCTCTCCACAGGTCCTGCAGGACACGAACCCTGCCAGGGTCAGCTCTGTTGCTTTTGGAGGGTCCCGCTCCAGCCCAGTGCTCTGCTGGTGTCAGTGTAAAGCAAGCCTGCAGCAACACAGCTTCAAATCCCAATAAGCAACAAGGCAGGGTGGTGTCAAAGGTGGAGAGTGAGATTTGTGTCAGTGCTGAGCAGGCAGAAAAACGAGAGCAGCAGCAGGGAGGATCCCCAGCTTGGTTTGGCCTCTGTATCAACAACTCTGGCCTGAGCTGAGCACCAGTGACAGGTTGGATCTGCATGGAAGAAACAAATGAACATTTCCCCCACCTCATTTCATTCAGATTTAATGTGTTTTTATTCCACGTAAGCACCAGCTCCAGCAGTAACAGAGCAGTTTTGGTCTCGTGCTGAGCTGCACAGACCTGGCAGAACAAGAGGAAAAGGCAACAGTAAAGCACCAATGTCAGTGAAAATCATGGAACAAAATGCAAACAACACATTTATACTTAAACAACATTGTCCTCATGTGTAAATAGCAAGGAAGTGCCAGTTCTGACCTCATGAAGGCCTTGGTGACAACCTGGGCCAGTGTGGGACAGGGAAATGTGGCTGATGAGATGGGCCCTAGTTTCCCCCACTGATTCCTTGGACCCTGAGCACAGCAGTGGGGGTAAAGTGGCCAATCCTGGCCACACAGGCCACTGCTTACTTGATTTTCAGACTAAATCTCTCTATTTTAAGAGGCTTTCTCTTTCAAGGAAGGAACCAGATGACACTGGTTCAGTTCTCTGCTGCTTAGACTTCAGGGCAGTGCCCCCAGTTTGCTGAGGACTCGCCTCTCTGGATCTCCCACCTGCTGCTGGAACAGCATTCCTGTGCCAATCCTCAACCCTCTTGTCTCCATCTAGTGTCCAAACCACATCTGGGCTCTCTCCCAGCCCCGTGACACCTGCAGCCTTCACATCAGTGTGCCCACATCCCAAACACAGCTGATCAGGCTGGGATGGACACCAGCACTGCCAGCCCCTCCTCTGAGAAGGCCACAGTTGTTTCTTATCCCTCCAATTTTACCCCAGGTGGAGAGGAGCTGCTGGATTGCCTCAGTGGGAAGCATAGAGAGAGACTCAAGAGCCTGGAGAGAATCACAAGGATCCTCACTCACCTTCTCAGGTTTTAATAATGTCAGGTTATTCTTGCTTCCTGTCAGGCCCAGAAATGAGCAGGAATTGCCCGCAGTGCTGGCTCCTGGTGGCTCCAGCTCCACCTGCTGGAGTGGGTCAAGACCTGATCCTGCTGCTGCTCAAGGTGCAATAAAATCATTTCTGGGACAGAATGATGCTCTTAAGCTGGCTTGGTGTGTCCTTGGGTGAATGTGAGTGTTTCCCTCGGCATGGGAGCTACCAAACTCCCATTAACCCCAGCAGCTCCTCACTGCAGCCTCCCTGCCCAGGGAGCAGTGACTGCAAACCCCGCTAACCCACCCCATGTCCTTTATCCACCTCCATCCACACACAGCTGCTCTTTCCCACCTCAGCAAAGGACGTGGAGGAGCTTTGGAGGTGCCCAGATCCCAGATTTGTCTCAGAGCACTTATTTGGTGACACCATGGCACTGCTGTAAGCACCTCACAACCCTCAGGCACACAATTATGGATCCACTCAGCACCTCATCACCACGAGCTGCCAAAATCCCTGGGCAGATCCCTGTGTGTCACAAACGCCATCCAGCCTGGGACCAGGCCAGTGCTTTCCTCACCTCTGTGCTCGTCCTGCTTTGTCAGAGGAGCCTGTAAGGTGTTGGTGGCACAAAGCAAGGACAGCAGGGAGACACCAAGGCACATCCTCTGCATGGAGGCAGAGGGAATGGAGCTCATTTCCTGGAGAAGGGAACCTTTGGGAGGGCCTCAGCAGCCTCTCAACACCTGCAAAGAGGAGGTGGCCGTGAGGGCTGGGCCAAGGTTTGTGCTCAGGAACAGACACAAAATTAAACTAGAAATGCTCTGACTGGATAAAGGGAGAATTTCTACCCTGAGGACAGTAGAGCAGTGGGAAGAAGGCCAGAGAGGCTGTGCAGCCTCTATTCCTAGGGGTTTCCACCACTTTGCACCCACCTTGAGCAGATCAGACTAGGGATGTCCTGCATTCCTGCAGGCACGAGCACAGGTGGGATGGAGCAGGACTCCTCTCAGCAAGGGTCCCTGTCAGGGCCCTCAGACCCCAAGTGCCCCAGCCAGACTCACCTGGGACGCCACCCCAGCAGCACCCCCTGTCCTGGGAGCTGCACAGCCCCTGCCTGTCCCCACAATGTCCCTGCGCCTGGATGGGCCCTGCACTGGGGACACTCCTGTCCCCTGCTGCTCCAACCTCCCAGCTGGATTTCCCAGACAGGAGGAACCTCCTCCGACACCCCTGCACATCACAGGGTGCTGCTCCCACCAAGGCTCTCCTGCTCTGGTGCCATGGGCTGTGCCCTGAACCAGGAGGTCACTGCTCCCAGCACTGTGGTCACCTCTGCCTCCTGGCTTGGCTTCCAGCATGGAGCAGCCCCATCCTTCGTTTCCAGCCATGGAAAAGCCCAGGGTCCTGGTGGGCTGTGCCTCAGGGAGGCCTCAGGTGGATTAAGGCTGTATGTACATCCAGAGGGACACCTGGCATCACTTCCAGGGGGGTCTGGCTGTGCAGCCGCCTGCTGCCTTGGCATTCCTGGGCACCGGAGATCCGGACACGCTGTTGGACCGACCCCTCACCAGCGGTCCCCGGGGGGCTGCAGGCGTTGTTGGAGCGCTCTGGTTCTTCCACCTTTCTGTGCCGAGGCTGGAAGAAAGGCGAATCCTGTCCGGAGGGGTGCTCAGCCGGCTGACAGACTGGGAGCGCGCTCTGCCAGGAGCAGCCCAGCCTTTGGGGCAAGCATCGCTCCCGGGATGTCTGCAGGCACACAGCTTCTCCCGGCGGCCGGGCTCGGACGTGGCCGGGGGCGCTGAGGCCGGGGGATGGACGGCCCGCAGGGGAGCGCCCCGGCTGTGTGGGGACAGGCCGGGCTGGCTCTGGGGGGCGGGCGGGGGGCTCCAGAGCAGCGAGTGGAGCTTGGCTACATCCTCCTTCCTCATCCGCGGAGCGGCCCAGGCAGCGCCCTGCGGCTTGGCACCGAACAGGGACTCGTCACAGAAGGACGGAGCGTGGCTTCGGGACCTTGCAGGGCGACAAGCGGAAAAACACGGGCTGGTTACAGCGCGGAAAGCAGAGGGGGACTCGAGGGGCTCCGCAGGGCACGGACACGGGGCAGCGCAGGGAGCGCCCCGCGGCGCGGCTCACCTGCACTGGCTGCCGGGCCGGGAGCCCCGCGCTGAGGGAGCCGCCGGAGCCGCCCAGGGCGGCGGGAAGGCGGGCGGCGGCGGGCGGGCCCCCGCGGGCCGGCCGAACAGCGACTCGTCCACGAAGGACGGCCGCACCCGGCGGCGGCCCCGGGGACCCCGCGGAGGGCGGGCGGCGGCGGCAGCCGAGCCACCACCGACCGGGGCCGGGGCCGGACCCGCCGCCCGCATGGCCGCGGCCCCGGGGCGGGCTCCGACCGGGCCCGGCCCCTTCCGCCCCCAGCCCCGACACGTGGATCCGCCGCCGGGACCGACATGGCGCCGCGCAACCGCCGCCAGCCCCGCCAGGCGCCGGTACCGGGCGGGAACGGACGGGAGGGGACGGGGACGGGAACGAAACGGAACGGAACGGGAGCGGGGTGGGAACGGGGCGGGCCGGGCCCGAGCGAGGCGTGTCCCTGCGCCCGTTACTGCGGCCCCGGTGTCCATGTGCCGGTGTCCACAGTACCGGTGTTCTTAGTGCCAATGTCCCTTGTGCCCGTATTCCTGGTATGCGTCTTCCCACGACCAGTGTCCCAATGCCGGTGTCCTGAGTAGCCGTGTCCCAATATCTGAGTCGCCAGTGCCCGTGTTCCAGTACCCATGTCCCCACTGCCAGTGTCCCAATACCCCTGTCCCAGTGCCAGTGTCCCAATATCCATGCCCCAGTGCCAGTGTCCCAGTACCAGTGTCCCCAGTACCCGAGTGCCCAGTGCCAATGTCCCCAGTACTCCCAGTCACCAGCACTGGTGGCCCTGCCTGCCACACCAGCAGTGCAGAGCTGCAGTGACCTGACCCTTCACCACAGCCATGTCCTCACTGTCCCCAGGCCCCTGCGGCCCCACTGCCCGCCTTCCCTACGGCCGCCGAGGAGGACGATGGCGCTGACGCTGATGCTGAGCTGGACACTCAGGCCATGGTGCGGGCCCAGAACCAGAAGAAGAAGAAATCCGGGGGCTTCCAGTCCATGGGTGAGTGTGAGGCAGGGGGCAGCTGTTCCTGGGACAGGGACTGTCCCCTCCTGCCCATGCCCCCTCACTTGTCCCTCTTCCGCCAGGCCTCAGCTACCCTGTCTTCAAGGGCATCATGAAGAAGGGCTACAAGGTGCCCACGCCCATCCAGAGGAAGGTGAGCCTGGGGAGCGGTGGGTCCCTGCCCCAGGGGGTGGCACTGGGACAGTGACAGTGACAGTTGTGTCCCACAGACCATCCCTGCCATCCTGCGTGGCCGGGATGTGGTGGCCATGGCCCGCACAGGCAGTGGGAAGACAGCCTGTTTCCTCATCCCCATGTTTGAGCGGCTGAAGGCGCCCAGCCAGGCCGGGCCACGCGCCCTCATCCTCTCACCCACCCGGGAGCTGGCCCTGCAGACCCTCAAGTTCACCAAGGAGGTACAGGGGACACGGGGGTGAGTGGGAACAATGGGGACAACGGTGACAACAATGGGGACAACAATGGTGACAACACCAATATGTTTATTCCTCGCCCTGCAGCTGGGCAAGTTCACTGGATTGAAGACAGCCCTGATCCTGGGAGGAGACAAGTAAGCTGTCCCCATGTCCCCTCCAATCCCTGCTTCCCTGAGCCTCCCCAAAACCTGGTGAGGAGCTGAGCTGCCCAGCGCCACTCCAGCCTCTCCCCTCTCTCACAGGATGGAGGACCAGTTTGCTGCCCTGCATGAGAACCCTGACATGTGAGTGATTGGGGCACAGGGAGGGGACCCAGTGGGGAAGTGGCCACCAGCCATCTGGGGACATCACTGGTGTGCCTGATGGGCATTCCTGGTGTTCCCTTGGAGCATCTTCCTGTGGGACAACTGGGTCTCTATTGTGTCGTCTTTGGGTTGGATTTGGGACCTGCTCCCAGGATGGTGTGGGGACACTGTTTCCCCCTCAGCCTGGTCCTGTCACCCCCTCTGTCCCCACAGAATCATAGCCACCCCTGGGCGCCTGGTGCACGTGGCAGTGGAGATGAAGCTGAAGCTGCACACCGTGGAGTACGTGGTGTTCGACGAGGCTGACAGGTCAGCAGGGCTGTCCCCAGGGCTGGCAGTGTCCCCACACGGGTGAGAGGCCCAGGGAGGGAGCTGCCATGTCCCATATCCCCTCCCTGCAGGCTCTTTGAGATGGGCTTTGCTGAGCAGCTGCAGGAGATCATTGCCCGGCTCCCCGACTGCCACCAGACCGTGCTGTTCTCCGCCACGCTGCCCAAGCTGCTCGTCGAGTTTGCCCGGGCTGGTGAGGACCTGGGCCAGGTGGCACTGGGGACAGAGACATGGCACAGCCAGGCTGAGCCCAGCACTGGGAAAACCCAGCTGGATTAATGCTGGGCCAAGCGGGTGTCCCCAGCAGGACACACGGTGAGTGACCCATGTCCTGTGTGTCACCTCAGGCCTCACTGAGCCCATGCTGATCCGCCTGGATGTGGAGTCCAAGCTGAGTGAGCAGCTTAAGGTGAGATGGGGGAGTTCAGGATGGGCTTTGTGCCCCCTACCCCCTGCAATCCCCCTGTTCCTGAGGAGGGGATGAGGGTGGCAGTGGTGGCACGGGGCTGAGCGCTGCCCTCGTGCTGCAGCTGGTGTTCTTCCACGTGCGCGGGGATGACAAACCGGCCGTGCTGCTCCACCTGCTCCGCAGCGTGGTGAAACCCCAGGACCAGACCGTCGTCTTCGTGGCCACCAAGCACCACACCGAGTATCTGAGGGAGGTGAGTGGCATTTGGGGGTGCCCATGTGGGGTCTGCAGTGAGCTTTCACTGGGTTAAAGGAAAAATCCCAGAATATGTCATCATGGAGGTGCTGCATCCATTCACCCCTCAGAGAGAGGAGGGAGCACATCAGGATTTGAAGGTCCAGGTGGCCACTCTGGAGTCTCTGGCCCTGTCTCTCTGCTGAGGGCACATCCATCCATTCTTTTCTCCCCTTCCCAGCTGCTGACAGCACAGGGTATCCGCTGCACCCACATCTACAGCTCTCTGGACCAGACTGCCCGCAAGATCAACATTGCCAAGTTCTCCCAGGGCAAGTGCCCAGTGCTGCTGGTCACCGACGTGGCTGCCCGGGGGCTGGACATCCCCATGCTGGACAACGTCATCAACTTCAGCTTCCCTGCCAAGGGCAAGCTGTTCCTGCATCGTGTCGGTGGGTGCCAGTGCCCTTACTGTGTTGTGGTTTTGAGGGACAGACTGGGGACAAAGCAGTGTCAGTGATGTCCTAGCTGGACTGTTAGGGCACTTGGGAGCAGGACTGGTACCTTCCCTGTAGAGTTGCCCCTTGCCAGCCATGCCCCCATGGTAAATGTCACATGTGTAGACTGCCAGGGACACCAGGGATCCCTTGCCTGGATGGGGCCAGGCTGGGCATGTTTTCTCATCCTCCTCTTGCCCGTGCCAGGTCGTGTGGCCCGGGCAGGCCGCAGTGGCACTGCCTACTCGCTGGTGGCTCCTGATGAGATGCCCTACGTGTTCGACCTCCACCTCTTCCTGGGGCGCCCGCTCGTCCTCGCCGGAGCCCAGGACATGCCTGCAGGTGAGGGGTGGCTCTGTGGCCACTGGGGTGTTCTCTTTGGCCAGTGCTGGAGTTTGTGGTCTTGTGATGGTGAAAATGGGGTGATGAGGGCTGTGATACACTCTGTGTGTGGGGGATGCTGATTGAACAGTGCCGAGCTCCCTGGAGCTGGCAGCTCTGCTCTGATAAATACAGGCTGGGTGCTGGGGAGGTGACACACTGTGCCCTGGGCTGCAGATGCTGGCGATGTCCTGGGCCGTGTGCCCCAGAGCCTGGTGGATGATGAGGAGTGCCTGCTGCTGACGGACCACGAGAGCTCTCTGGAGCTGCGCAGCCTCCGCCGCGTCGCCGACAACGCCCACAAGCAGTACCTGCGCTCCCGGCCCGGCCCCTCGCCCGAGTCCATCAAGAGGGCCAAGGACCTGGATGTGTCCCAGCTGGGCATGCACCCCCTCTTCAGTGAGTGCTGGGGGGACGCTGAGGGAGGGGACCCCATTTCCCTTCCCATTAAACTGAGCTGTGCCCCTGTCCCTGCCTGCCTTCCCCAGGAGCTCGCTTCGAGGACACCGAGCTGCAGAGGCTGAAGTTGGTGGATAGCATTAAGAGCTACAAGTCCAAAGCGGTGAGTTGAGATGGATGGGATGGGATGGGATGGGATGGGATGGGATGGGATGGGATGGGATGCCCATGTGGCTCACTGGGAATGATGCTCCTGCCCTGGGCACAGACCATCTTTGAGATCAACGCCACGTCCCGGACACCAGCCAGCACTGTGATGCGATCGAAGCGGCGCCACGACCATGCCCTGATCGAGAAGTTCCAGCGTGGGCAGCAGGAGAAGCGGGCAGCAGCACTTAAAGGGCAGGGGATGTGCCCAGCCCCTCCTGAACCCCAGGATGGGGAAGGAGAGCAGGAAGACCTCCAGGTAATTGGGTCATGGATACAGGAACTGCTGCAGAGCTGCCTTGGCCTGGTGCTAGCAGGCCAAGGGCCCCAGATTGTGCTGGGGTTTGGAGGCTGGTGCAGAGACTTGTGGGGATATTGGGAGGATGTGGCTCCTGAACCCCTTCCCTATCCCCATCCAGGACGTGTTCTCCAATGTGGGGGGCCAGAAGCGAAAACGGGGCCGAGGAGGAGAAGATGGTCCCAGGAAAAAGCCACAGCAGCCGGCACAGCAGGCTGAGGACTTCTACATCCCATACCGGCCCAAGGACTTTGAGAGTGAGCGGGGGTAAGTGTGGGGGGCTCCTGCTGCTGTGCCCCCCCGCCTGTGTGGGGCTGCTCTCATTGCCCCCCTTGGCGAGGGCAGCGCCTTCGAGCAGCAGGCGGCCGGGGCCGTGCTGGATCTCATGGGTGACGAGAACCACAACCTCAACAAGAACAAGCAGCTGCTCAAGTGGTGAGTGGGCTTTGCCCATGGGCTGGAGGGGGAATTAGGGCTGGGGGTGGCACTGCTTGGTCCCACCACCCTTCTGTCTCTTGCAGGGACCGCAAGAAGAAGCGGTTTGTGGGACAGACGGGCCAGGAGAACAAGAAGAAGGTGCGGACAGAGAGCGGGCGCTACATCAGCAGCTCCTACAAGAACAACCTGTATCCTGCCATGGGTGCTGCTGCCTGCCTGGGCTGGGCACTGTGGGAGCAGGGCTGGACCTGTGTGTCAGGGCTCCAGGGGAGGGAGCACAGTGGGGTCAAGCGAGGAGTCCCCACATGTTCCCTTAACGTGCCCATCCCAGCTATGAGAAGTGGAAGCAGAAGTACAAGGTTGACGAGCGGGATGAGGATGAGGAAGGGCCACGCAGCAGGGAGCAGTTCAGAGGGAAGCACAGGCGTGGGCAGGGTGAGTACCCAAAGCAAGCAGCACAGCCCTGCCCTGTTCCCCTCAGCCTGGCTCTGAGCACAGCCCTGTCCCCCTGCAGGCCCCACGCAGTCCCCGGCGCAGGGCAGGGTGCGCTCGGAGCTGAGGAACAAGCAGCAGATCCTGAAGCAGCGCAAGAAGGCGGCCAAGCAGCGCTTCCTGCAGAGCGGGGGCCTGAAGCGGCTGCGGGCGCGCGGGCGGCAGCGCGTGCAGGAGCTGCGGCTCATGGCCTTCGGCCGCCGCGCCGGCCCCGCCAAAAAGGGCAAGCTCAGGAAGAGGATGTAGGGCACACACCGCCTGGGCTGGGAGCTGGGCAAGGGACAGTAAATATTGGTTGGTTTTGCATCGCGGCTTCTGTCTCTCCTTGCTCCAAGCAGCGTGCTTGGGGTAGTTCTTTCCCTAGAGACGCAAGAAGAAGCAGGAGCTGTGGCTGCACAGCTGGGTGTATTTTGATGTGAAGCACCTTCAGCAGCTCCCTCCTCCTCGTTGTCCTGCCTGGGGTGCTCTGTGCAGGAGGGAACCTCAGGAGTGCCCTGGCCCTGCCTGGGTGTGCTGCCACCCCAGTGTGACTGTGCCACTGCTGTCCATGTTGCCTCTTGACATGGGGTTTCCAGACTTGCAGGAATTGCCTCCATACAGAGGGGTCCTGTGGCTCCATGCTGGCCCTGGCAGCCTCTCTCCAGCCCCAGGAGCAGGCAGAGAGTCCCCAGGGGCTATTTGTGGCCCTGAAGCAGCCTGACACTCCTGTGGTGCTGTGGGTGTCTGTCAGTGGCACAGATGTCAGACAGAGCCTTCATACAGAGCAGCACCTGTGGAGATGAGAGCCGTTTGCCACAGCCATCCAGGGATGTAAGTGCCCCTGTGTGTCCCCAGCCCCACTGCCCCAGGGGAAGGGTTGTGCTGACCGTGTCCAGCTGGGCCTTTGTGTCCTCCTGAGCTCTGTCCGTGGGGATCCTGAGCTGTGCTGTGGTTTGCTGGAAGAGGTTCAGCACAGCCAGCTTGATCTGCCCCAGCAGCAGGGTCTTCTGGGTGGCTGTGCTCTGGATGTGGGTCCAGCAGGACTCCTGGGGGACAGAGTGACCCCTGGCCCCTGCCCTGTGTCCTTCTGTGCCCCCCAGGCCAGGCCTGAGGGACCCAGGAGTCCTGGCTGTGTATCCCTGCTGCTTTTTGGGCAAGTGGGGATCCTCAGCTCAGCCCGAAAGGGTGCAGCCCACACACCTTGGCACCTCCACCACACTGGGCATCTCCTTGTGCAGCACAGC